GAGGTTATATATAGTTTTTTATATCTCCATTGATTTTCAACGCTCAGAACAAATCATTATTCTAAGAAACATTCCTGGGGCTTCCCTGGTGGCAGAGTGGTTAAGAATCCACCTGCCAATGCAGGGGACACGGGTTCAAGCCCTGGTCTGGGAAAAGCCCACATGCCACAGAGCAATTAAGCCCGTGCACCACAACTACTGAGCCTGTGCTCTAGAGCCCGTGAGCCACAACTACTAAGCCTGCATGTCACAGCTACTGAAGCCTGTGAGCTTAGAGCCCACACACCACAACAAAGAGTAGCTCCTGCTTGCCACAGCTAGAGAAAGCCCACGTGCAGCAACGAAGACCCAACGCAGCCAAAAGTAAATACGTAAATTAAATAAAATAAACATTCCTTTCTTCATTATGCTTTTCCGTGTTTTCCAAATTTTTATGAGTATGTATTATAACCATCACTGAGGGGGAATAAGCAAATCTTGTAAAGCACCATATTCATTACATTCTCATTACAGTACCATATTATGTACATCGTTTATTTGCAGGTTTGATCCCTGGACTAAAATTAAATACCTTCATCTGAAAACCAAACAAATAAGAAGGAGCTAATCTTCTGTCAGATGACAATTTAGTAAAAGCCACAAATAAAATCTGTTTAAATTCTTTTTTCCTATTTTGTAGTTACACACGTCACTGCCTGATATATTAATAAAAGATTTAAAGGCTAAAGAGTAATACCATTGCACAGAAAAAATAGTCATTCACAGTAACAAAAGCCAAGGTTTATAATGCAATGTGTTAAAGACTTGGTGGTAGTGACTTAATACAACCATTTACAAAACTGAATTTTAACAACCATAATTTTAGCATGGGTAGATGAGCCTTATAATGACATTACTGAAGTTGACAGATGATGGAAGTTTTCCTACACTGTAGATTTGACCTAAAATAAAAGCCTAGGGAAAATATTTTCACAAGTGTCAAGTATAAACGTATTACACATTTATAAAATGTGACTACAATTTAAAACTTAATAAGGTTTTGAAGCACTATGATTTTCTTAATAAGACAGTCACAAAATGTTAGATTTTTTTTTTAATGTGTTTAGCTAATTCACTATATAAGACTGCCACTAGTACAACTTAACATTATGGTAACTAGAAGTTAGTGAAAGCTCAGTTTATCAAAATGTAACTAATACAGTAAGTCCCTAACATACGAACAAGTTCCATTCCGAGAGCACATACATTAAGTCCAATTTGCTCATAAGACCAACAAAGTTAGCCTAGGTACCCAAGTAACACAATCGGTTATATAGTACTGTACTGTAACAAGTTTATAATACTTTTCACACAAATAATACATAAAAAACAAAAAAAACACGAAAAATAAAAAAAACATTTTTAATCTTGCAGTACAGTACCTTGAAAAGTACAGTAGTACAGTACAACAGCTGGAATACAGGGGCTGTTGGCAGTACCAGCTACATCACTGCTGCTTTTACACTTGCTTCCAGACATCCTGGGCTTGAAATAAAGATACTGTACTACTGTACTCTGTAAGTACTGTAAAGTACACAAAAGCACAACCACTTGTAGAGGATGCACACACGTGTCAATGTACGCCAGACACGTGAACTAACTTATGCAACTGGACATGTGAACATGTGTTCACAACTTGAAGGTTCGTATGTAGGGGACTTACTGTATTACAAGTGTTTGTATCAGCAAGAACATTTTATGTACGATGCTCTACTTCCTATTAAAACTCATTACAAAAACATTTCATAAGTAATGTAACTACTGTTGAAATCAAGCAAGCCCTAGAATACTGGGGTATGCATCTATTTTCATAGGCTTGAGAGGCACAGATGACAAGTATTTTCAAATCTAGATACTATTTTTTTTAATTAATTAATTAATTTATTTATTTTTGGCTGTGTTAGGTCTTTGTTTCTGTGCGAGGGCTTTTCTCTAGTTGCGGCGAGCAGGGGCCACTCTTCATCGCGGTGCGCGGGCCTCTCATTATCGCGGCCTCTCTTGTTGTGGAGCACAGGCTCCAGTGCACTCTGTGTGAGCACAGGCTCAGTAGTTGTGGCTCACGGGCCTAGTTGATCCGGGACATGTGGGATCCTCCCAGACCAGGGCTCGAACCCGTGTCCCCTGCATTGGCAGGCAGATTCTCAACCACTGCGCCACCAGGGAAGCCCCAAATCTAGCTACTATTAAATGCACATTTCTCATAAGGCAAGCAAAAATGCTAATGGACCGCTCATAGACCATATGAAATGAAGTCTATACACCATTATAGACTGAGTAATCAAATGTTTACTTTTTTTTCAAACCAAAATAAAAATGTTCTAAATCTTAATGAAAAGCTGTCTTATATAATAGAAAAAAATGTAGAACTAGAACTATACAACCAGGTTTGGGTGCCAGCCAGCACTTTTGCTGACCTGATGTATGACTTTGATTATTTTCCCCCATAAGTAAAAAAGAAATTGGATTATGTAATCTCCAAGCGTTTGTTTTCGTTTGTTTGTTTTTTGATTCCAATACTAAAAGCTTTATGTAATAGGCAAAGGCCAATTTTTGAGCTGGAAATAGACTTTGATAGAATTCAGTAGAAGGCAGATAAGTCAAAACTAAACAATCCCGTTTAAAAAGGTGCCCAGACTAAGGTTACAGAATGTCAAGACATACTGTTCAAATTGGCAGATGATACTAAGGACGATCACTGAAATTACTGTGGATTTGAAGCTATACTGCTTTCTATAGACATTTACTCTCAGAATTCATTCCTCCTGGCAGAATTTTCATATGGGGATACCCCCTCCTCCATGTGGTCTCGGTGGCAAACTAGCTGCCCCCCCCACCCCGACCCTGCAGCCCAGGACAGAGCTCACAACAAATCAGCAAACAATACAACCTTGGCCACTGACTGTTTCAGTAGGTAGGACCCTAAACCAGTCCAATCAGATTGAATTTTAGGATTTGTTCAGGAACTGCCAAAAGAGAGTAACTCCACTAGATCTGAAATAATAGGTACATGAGACTCAGATGTGCAATAACCCCCTTGACAACATAACAGGAAAGCCTATCTGAGAATGGAACCATGCAGTGGAAGTGGAAACAAGAAATGGAGAGAGCAAGAGAACTGATTGTATCATTTGAGCCCCAGAATGAAGCTATGCTTTAAGCCATCCCTAGTTCTAGGAGGTCTTAGTTTCACAAGTAAATAAATTCACTCTCACTTAGTCTGGGTTGAGTTCTTTCTTGGAACTGAAAAAAAATCATAATTAAGTTTCTCTACAATAATCTCAATGTAGTCTCATGGATGAGGAAAGATCTTTCCCAAGTTCTTGCCATATAACCCAGCTAAATCATTTAATCCCCTTATGTCTCAATATCATCAACAAAATAAAGTATCAGCCATTATCTGCTTTAAAGTGTTGTGAAGGTTAAAAAAAAAAATGTTTGTGTAAGTAAAATGATATTTAAATCCAATGCCCTGTAGATGGAAAAATGGTCTCACTTTTTAAAAAGTAATTTTAGGAGGTCATTTTTACAATGAGTATTACTATAAAAAGTTTCTAGGGAACAAGGGAATTCGGAAATACCAACAGGGCCTGCTGTATTTAGATTCAAATCTAATTGTATTCAAGCCTGTTTCTACACAGTATGTGAGTATAAAAAAGAAAATCCAACTCCAAATCAAGCAGTCCTGAGATTAGGCTTTTTTTTTTTTTTAGATTCCATATGTGTTAGCATACAGTATTTGTTTTTCTCTTTCTGACTTACTTCACTTTGTATGACAGACTCTAGGTCCATCCACCTCCCTACAAATAACTCAATTTTGTTCCGTTTTATGGCTGAGTAATATTCCATTGTATACATGTGCCACATCTTCTTTATCCATTCATCTGTCATTGGACATTTAGGTTGTTTCCATGTCCTGGCTATTGTAAACTGTGCTGCAGTAAACATTGTGGTACATGTCTCTTTCTGAATTATGGTTTTCTCAGGGTATATGCCCAGTAGTGGGATTGCTGGGTCATATGGTATTCTATTTTTAGTTTTTTAAGGAACCTCTGTACTGTTCTCCATAGTGGTTGTATCAATTTACATTCCTACCAATAGTGCAGGAGGGTTCCCTTTTCTCCACACCCTTCCCAGCATTTATTTCTAGATTTTTTGATAATGGCCATTCTGACTAGTGTGAGGTGATACCTCATTGTAGTTTTTATGTGCATTTCTCTAATAATTAGTGATGCTGAGCATCTTTGCATGTGCCTCTTGGCCATCTGTATGTCTTCTTCGGTGAAATGCCTATTTAGGTCTTCTGCCCATTTTTTAATTGTATTGTTTGTTTCTTTGATATTGAGCTCCATGAGCTGTTTGTATATATCAGAAATTAATCCTTTGTCTGCTGCTTCGTTTGCAAATATTTTCTCCCATTCTGAGCGTTGTCTTTTCATCTTGTTTATGGTTTCCTTTGCAGTGCAAAAGCTTTTAAGTTTCATTAGGTCCCATTTGTTTATTTTTGTTCTTATTTTCATTAAGAAGTGGGTCAAAAAAGATCTTGCTGTGGTTTATGTCAGAGAGTTTTTCCTATGTTTTCCTCTATGAGTTTTATAGTGTCTGGTCTTACATTTAGGTCTTTAATCCATTTGGAGTTTATTTTTGTGTATGGTGTTAGGTAGTGTTCTAATTTCATTCTTTTACATGTAGCTGTCCAGTTTTCCCAGCACCATTTACTGAAGAGGCTCTCTTTTCTCCATTGTATGTTCTTGCTTCCTGTGTCATAAATTAGGTGACCATATATGCATGGGTTTATCTCTGGGCTTTCTATTTGCCTTAGATTTAATAAGGTACACCGATTCCCATTTTAAGAACCATAGTACTTAACCAAATAAAGTAGTACGTACCCAAGATATACATTAGAAACAGAAAAGAGTGTGTGGACGTATTTATATAATCAGGTATAATTTTACTTTACATACCTCTGTAGGTCAACTATTTCATTGTTAAGGGTATCTAGCTCCTTAATAGCAGAGAAATCTGCGACAGGACTTGATCCTATGATGTTCTAAAAACAAAGAGTTCACAATTATAACATTATTACTATAAAATTCCATGCGGCAAAGCATTAAAAATGTTTAAAAGCACTATATGGATACATATTTTATGGTATTACTAACACTTTTAATTCACTTAAGAAAACCCTATCTAGTGCAATTTTACACACACACACATATAGGCAGTTATATACTAAGACATTTTCCCTTAAACTCTCTAAAAGCTGTTGTTCTGTAATATATACCACCACTTGAGATCCCAATGTCTTTGTCGTGTGATCTTAGCCTGTCTAGAATGTTGCAGTAAAGCAGATATCAGATTTATAAACTAATTCCTCCACTGAAGCATAAATTTCTTGGGGAGGTGAATTGTGATTTATTTGTATTTGTATTAAATAAATGGTGGTTGATTTTATTTAATTCAACAAAGTATTTTATTAAATACTTTCAGTGTCTATTTAAAGTAAAACTAACTGCTCTGCATGTTCCATAGTAAATATTAATATCACCATACATGAAACTGTCTTATATGACATCCTTTACCTATGGTTTTCTTTCAATAATGGAGGTATCAAAATTAGTCTCTGAATGGTATTTGTATTTAGAAAACCTAGCTGTGTTTATTCTGGGCTCTGCTGTTTTACTAGCTGCATGATCTTCACTGCAAAACAGGGGAATAATCTCTGCCCTGCCCACTTTAAAAATTAAATAAATATTGCATATGAAGTCACTCTACAAACTTTATGATATTTTATAAATGTAAGCTATTATTATACTTAACTTCCTCAATAGAATATGCTCTTGAAAGTTGGAAAGGCTCCCAATGACTTGCTTTCACCCTGGCTCAGTCCCCTTTGTGAACCATTTTTGATGCCTTATATAGCTGGCTGAAGTCAAGGCAAAAAGACAACTGCTCCTTCAAACACTTGACCTACACCCAATGCTACAACCAAACTGACAAATAACAGGATGATCATCATGAGGAAATGTTAAAACTGAGGCCTAAACATGTAAAACTAAGATATATTGAGGACCTTATTAGCAGAACATAAAACTTAGTATTATACTTATGTTGCTGTGAACTTAAGGTATGTCACCAACTTGCACAACAGAAGAAGAAACCTAAAAGTTCACAGTATCCTATCTGCTCACATTTATGTAATGGTTTACAAATTTACTAAGTACTAATCTGAAAACTGGTCTGTAGGTAGGGCAGATATTATCATTAACCCCATTTTAGAGCTAAAGAAACATATTAAATGACTTGCTTAAAGTTGAACCCAGCTAGCTAATAGGCGATATTGATCAGGAGACTTCTAATCAAATTCAAGTGCTATTTCACATTATGTCCCTTGGCACCTGCATATTAAGATCATTTAGGTAAATGAAACCATTACCCTAAAAGCCAACTTGATAAACAGGTACATCAATAAAATGTGAAAAATAACTCCTTCTATATTTCTTTATGCTATACTGCATAACCGTCCTCATATGTTTTGTTTTGTTTTGTTTTGACTATCAATACCAAAATTCATCCGTTAGGACTCAATTAACGCTATTCTCAATTTTATATTAATTACAGATTTGTACCAAATATGCCTCTTACTATGTTTCACTGACACATAGACCCTTATCATTCTAAAAAGTCAGAAATTTTAAAGTGGGTTTCTGAATGTGACGAGTATTTACTAGGATTTTAACTCTGCCCAAACTTGACTTATGAGCTAATTAAGCCTGGCCAGACAATTTGAAAGGCGAACAAAATGAAAAATTAGCACTTAGTCTCACTTTTATCACCAAGAGTAACTTACATCACATAAGTGCTACTGAGAAATTTGCCATCAGAGGTGCAAGCAAACCAAGAAACTCAGGACTCCCATACCTGTTCTGTCACTCTAACTCAAAAAAAGTGACTCACATTTGACAGTCTTTCACTATTAAAAATATCATCAAATAAGAAGAGTGAGACAAATAAGTTTAACTTCAAACAAGTTATAAGGTAATACCATAGATGACTCCAGAATGAAGATTAGTGTACTTAGTTGGTACTGATAAGTGTACTTGTGTCACTCTCAATTGCTGACACAAAAATTAAACTCCTGTTCTAGAGCAATAAAATAACATGCAATCAGGAAGCACAGAAAAAGTTCGGCTAACAGTATATAAAGTATAAGAAGGGCATATGAAGAAAAATGTACCATGTCCCCTTCTTGCAAAATATTTTCTCTCACCCTGTTTTGTGTATTACACAAAAATTCCACTTTGGTGATTTTAAGTGGATCAGAGAGCTTCGGGAAGGCAAGTTAAAATGCACACAAGGACCAAGTGACAGACATGTGACAAAAGCATGCTGTTTAGGTATTTTCTCTGCATTAACTTTGAGGCATAAACAACCTCTAATTTCAAAATGTTATCTTGTAAACCAAAAACCGTAATGCTAAAAAAGGCATAAAGTAAAGCTCTAACCTTGAGAGAGTAGAGTTAAGAAACTGACAGTACAAGAAAGGCGAAAAGCAGAGTGCTGCAGAATGGAAAAAATAGTCCAAACTAGAAAAAACACAGAAAGGAAAGCAACATTCAAAAAAGGATTAGTCAAAGCTGCAAAAAAATGCAGTCCTAAAAAAATTAGATTATAAAGAGAAAAGAGATTATTTGAAAGACAAAACAAATGCAAATTTTAATTTTTAAGGTTAAAATTTTTGGGTATAGATAAGACAACAGTGATAAAATCCCATTTTAATGAATAATACTGATATCTGACATGGACAAAAGTATCTATGCTCTAGTGAATGGACTTCAGTAAATCTACTTAACTGAAAATTCTGTATAGCAGATGCAACTCGAAGTGCCTACTAATGTTACAAAGACTTCAATGAACAAACAATTTGCTTCAGAAAATTCTGCTGTATGTGTATTTTGTGTTGGTGGGAGACTCTGTGGGTATAAAATGAAGGCAGCAAGGAAAAAAAGCAGTCTACATAGGTGAAAGAAGATGAAACAACACAGTGTTCCATAACTGAGATACAGTTAGAGCAGGGGGCATAAATACAAATTTGTAACCTTTATCTTTCTGGGTGGCATCACTTTTAGCCTTCTCTACAACTTAGGGAACCCATGTTCTACATCAAAAGAAATCTCAGAAATTCACAAAATGCTCCCCCCCAAAACACTCACAAAGCAGATAAAATCAAGTAGTTACTTAATGTGAAAATAAGAATAAAAACTCTTATACGTAACTTCTATATTTAGTGGCTATAAATTTCCATTTAGTTGACTTAGGAAAAAAATCCAATTTTGACTGTTACTAGATTTGTTAAAATGGGATTTTTTAACCTATGTGACAAAATTAATGCAAGACATTCTACTAACATTTTAAAGAGAACTCTCCTGATACCAAATATGTGACAACTCCTATATAGGTAACTCTGAAGAATCACCACATCCATGGTTACTTTGTAGGTCACAAGATACTTAAAGACACAAAGTGTGGAGGGCAAACAGCCACTAGAGCATGCAAGTCCTTTTAAAGCTCTATTATAAGGCCAAGATATTATAAACCACAATATTAGTAAGGGTTTCTAGATGAGAAGAGAAAAATCAAGGTACAGCATTACTGAAACATGTAGTTTTGAAAATTCCCACTGTTGGCCAGAACCAAAAGTAGCTAAAACCTGTTTCTAGCTGTTCAGATATGAAATTCGGTTGTAAGCTCAGGAATAGAGGGTCATCTATATGGCAAAAACCACACAGACTTTTCCTCAACAAGTTTTTCTTTTCTTTTTTTTAATGTAAAATTGACAACAAGCAATCATAATCTCCTAGATTTTGTTTTCAAATCTGTATTGTTTTCTCCAAGAGTGAATTATCAAATGAAATGCAGTAATTTAATTCTTATAAGTTTCATTTAAAATTTACACTCTATTCATAAAAATTAATTCACATATCCACGGGAGAAAAACAAGACCACGTTTTCCAGTTTTAAGACTGGAAAGTATGGTTGTCATATGTGTAATGAATGGTAGGATAAATGAGCTGTAGCCCAAGGATATCATACAAGGTATTCCAACATACTTATAGGCACAAATTAAACCGCAAACAGTATACTGCTTTGTTTCTAGCCAGATACATTTTCTCCACTATTCCATACAAATCGATTCTGTCACCTGGCATAGCATTTGTTCTTTTCTGTTAATGCATTAAGGTTTTCTTTTAAGTTGTCTTACCTTTTGTAAAGTGGCCCTATCTGATGGTGGAATCATCTCAGGAGTAAGAATGTGAGGAGGATCGATGCCCTTTATTAACTTTTGATTGATTAAGTGAAAAGCCAAGGCAAACTGATCTTTTGAAAGCTTCCCACAGTCCTTTGTGTCACATAATGCCCTGTACAAATAAACAAAATGAACAGTATGTAAATGTCACAATTACCATTCTAAAAATCCAGGGGAAAATTAATATGACTATGTAGCTTTGAAATAATCACCAGTTGAATTTAAAAAATAAAGTCATACCAACTTATGGCTAGCCAAAAACTCACTAAAATGTTAGAAGAGAGATATTGGCTAAAATGGTAAGAAAAAGAGACTGTTCACCTTGGTGCTGAGCAGGGTCCTCTAATTTGGGTTTTCTCTGTGCTTTCTTACCAATTTCCAGAACCACTACGGAGTAAAAGCTGTGGTGGGCCAAAGAATTCCAACATTCTCTACTCCCAACATTTTCAACATTAAAACATGTTAAAAATGAAACCTAAGTTTCAACAAATTTGGTTCGTTAGTGGCATTACAATGATTCTAAAACAAGCAAAATACGCCATGTCGGCTTGTTTCCTACAACTTTTGAAGTAGGAGGATGTCAGGATCACCGTCAAAGAAAAATAACAGCTGCAAATGGAGATCACGTGTGGAGGGAAGGCAGCAATCTGGAAACCTTTACAAAAATCACTTGAAGAGAAACAGCAAATGTTTTATTCTATTTGCTTCCCCCCCGCCTTTTTTTTTTAAGGTCAGCTTTCTAAAGTCCTGATCTGTTTGATTCATTGAAAACCAATGTGGCCTGATTAAAAGACTATGGGATATGGTGTCAAAGAAACCTTAAATTCCAGCTTTTCTACTTATTTCTTCTTGTGACATTGGCCATATTTTTTAACCTCTCCAAGCCTTAGTTTCTTCATCTATAAAGTGTAAATTACACCTATCTTGCAAGGTTACTGTGAGAATTAAAGACAAAGTACATAAAAAGTCTGGGCATAATGGCAAACCCATGACAGCTGCCATTTATTCAGCATAGTGCCTAGCCTACGCACTTGAAAGTCTGGGCATAATGGCAAGCCCATGACAGCAGCCATTTATTCAGCATAGTACCTAGCCTAGGCACTTGAAAGTGGCAGCTATCACTAGCTACATATATTTAATCTTTCCCAGTCTTGGGTTCTTGTTCCTTTTAAGGCAGATCTGCTGTCCTTTGTTCTTTTCTAAGTTCCTCTTTGCAACTATATGGTTCTACTTCTGATGTTTGCTGCCCCTTGAAAAACTCATGATAACTAACCTCGGTAATAGGTGGATTGGCAGCAGGAACACTATAAAAAGCATTTTCATAATATTATCTCATTTAATGTGAAATTCATTAGAGACACTAAAGTTTGTCATTTTTTAAGGACCAAGTGTATAGTTCCCACGTAAAGGTATAAAAGTATACATATATCCTATAGAAAGAATTATATAAGTATACCTTGAAGATTCTGGATTTGTTTTATATTGTTTAAATTTCAGAATTTTGGATTCTCTCTTAAAAACTGAAGTTTAATTAGCTGATATAAACCAATGCTGGATTTTAACATTCTAATAACCATTAACTGACACTGTCAATCCAATAAAACTATAGGTAACCCATTCTTAAGCTTCTGTCCACTATCCAGAAGAAATCATCAGACTTAAATTTTTCTCTACAAAGAATTCTAAACAAAAACTGTCCTACTTACAAATGCCTAAAAACAAGAATCTACAAAACTAGAGTTGATACAAAACCATATTTGTTTTTTAACTCAACTTAAATAAAGTCTTACCAAATATGGGCTAGTAAGGCAGAAGGTAAACCTGTCTTCAGGAAGATTTCACGGACTTCCAATCCAGACACAAATCCATCCATATCTTTATCAGTTTTCAAGAAGATTTCATCATATTTAGCTTTTTCTGCAGGGGATACAACCCACTACAGGAAAAAAAAAAATATATAGTATTTCCACCAAAATGAAACAAACTTTGAAGTGTCCCTCTTTCAGCCCATGACAGTAACTTTCACAAATTCTGTGCAATTCTACCCCACTATCTATAGCAACAGTGTGTCACTTCCATCACACCCCAATTGAAATGCTGTGATGAAGAGAAAATTACAGAATAAAAATATAGGTTAGCTATAGGGACTGTACTTAAAGATGTCCATTTTACTTTTCTTTAAGTAATGAGTAAATTCAAGCACAGTTAACTCTTGACTTATGAATGACCACATTAAGATGCGTAACTAGGAGAGTCTACATAAACAAAAGATTCAGATAATTCTAAATCTCCATTTTTTTATAGTTTCATTCCCTGTTCTTAACTGTAGCCAAACTGGTTGATCTGCATATTCTGTCATTATTTTCCTTTACTCAACCTAACAAGAAGGAGGTTGTAGGAAAAAAAAGGCCTTGAACAATACCAAATTGGAAAATTTGATCCCAAAGAATCAAGAGTTAACTAGAGATTAAACAAACAAAACATCTATTAACTTTGCCAGGGCAAGCATGCCAGATTAACATGGAGCATCTTCTTTCTCCAACTTTAATTCCAGGTAGATCAAGGCAAAGCCAATGAAACATCCATATGACCTAAGTAAGGCCAAATGCAGGAGAGGATTATGTCTTCTCTAGGACATCACATTATATAGGTTCAACCAGAGGGAGCTCTGACTTTTTGATCCCTTTGATTGCTCCTTCTATCTTCATCAAGCAATCAACTGTTAAATGCCATGCATTTTGTTTTTTAAAAATAGTCCTTTAACACTGATAAATCTATACCTGTCTTAATGGTGCTTTGGTAGGTAAAATGCCTACAGGTGGTAAGGAGTGGTAAGGTTCCTTGGCTGATGTTGAAGAGGGGATCAACCGCACAGAGCCTGATATACTGACCGTTTTCCTCTTAGAAGGTGGCACCAAGGCTGGAGGCAAGGACACTGGCACAGGTTCTTTCTCCAATGCGCAGTATACCAAAAACATGGCCTTCAAAACAGATGAACCAGGGTCATATATATTAAAATCATCTAAAAACAACCACCCACGAACTGATTATTGTTCAACAAAAAAGCATCTTCAAGTTGCCTCAAATCCTTTTTTTAAGAAATTAGGCTGGGAAGGAAAGAAAGAGGAAAAGAGGGAGAGATGAAAGGAAGGACGGAGAAAAGGAAATAAATCAAAACTAAGCAACTTTTAGGAAGATATCCTAAGCAGTAAAAACTCAGACACACACCCTTCAAGTAAAGGTCTTGTAATATCAAAAGAAAACAACCTGGGGAAAAAAATATTTGCAAAGAAAGAATTAACTTCTCTAATATATAAAGAATACTTAGATATTAACAGAAGAAAACCGCAAAATCCAGTAGGAAAATAGGCTAAGAGTATTAACAGATACCTTACAGAAAAGTATATATCACAAATGGCCTATCCTTTAACTTATAAAAATATGCTCACTTTCACTCCCAAGAAAACGGCAAGTTAAAACTATATGAAAATACCATTTTCCTTCTAATGGCAAAAGTCCAAAGTTTCATAACACAATTTGTTAGCTAGACTGGACAAACAGGCACTCTCGTACATTGCTAGTGAGAGCTCAAACTGGTATCAAGACTACTGAATGGTACTTTGGCAACATCTACCAAATTATTTATTTCCCTTTTGGCTCAGAAATCTGACATCTGGGAGTCTATCCTCAGATATCCTCTACCTGCCTGCATAGGAAATGCTGTATGAAATAGGTTTTTAATTATAGAATTGTTCGTATTAGCACCCAAGTGCTCATCAGCAAAGACTGGTTTAAAAAACTATGGTATACCCATACAATGAAATACTATCAAACAAACCAACCCCCCACCTGCCCAAGAAAAAGCAAATCCATGGGAAATATTCTGTATCTTAACTACGGTGGTACCTTCACAGATATATACAATTGTCAAAACTCATCAAATTATATAGTTAAATTGAATGCAGTTCATTGTATGTAAAGTAGTCCTTAATAAAGCTGACCAGAAAAAGAATCATGGAGCCCTCTGTGTGAAAAGATATCCAAGATACTATGTTAACATGAAAAAAGTATAGCTGTGAACAGTGTGTATGTATAATAATAGTGTGTAACCTTTATGGTAAGGGGATAATAATTATTCATATCTGTTTCTGTTTCCATTAAGAAATTCTATGAGGATAAACAAGAAAGGAAGGATAAATAAGAATATATAGAGTAGGTGTAAATGGAGCAGTTGAGGGCAAGGATGGGACTGACATTTCCACTGAATATCTTCTTATATTGTACTGATTTCTGAACCACGAGAATGTATTACCTATTAAAATTATTTTTAATTATTAAATACAAAAAACCCCACAAATTTTCTATTTCCAAAAGCTTGAAACTCCAGAAAGAAAACTACTTTCAACCAAATTCACAATATATGTAATATTATTTCATACTTTCAACCAAATTCACAATATATGTAATATTATTAGCTTGGCAATGAGCTAAAAGAAGTGACTAACATGCACATTAAAGGTCAGTATTCCTCTTGCTACAGATGGGAGTCATTTCCTGGAAAAGTGGACACTTGAAGCAAAAAAGCTATGTCAGCCATCTGCTGCCAACAGACAACACAGTTTTTCAAAGTTAAAAAAATATATTACTAAGTTCATGTTGCCTTGAAAATAATTTTCCTGACAAAACTGAAGTCAAAAATTTTTCTACCTAATAAAATAGAAAAAGTGAACAGTATACGGTTGAATTATGATTTTGTTTTCTTATTATATTGTACTTTACCCTAATCAAAGCATGTCACTGAAACAAATACTAAAAGCAACTAAATCAAATGATGTACAATGCTTGAAACCTGGCCAGCAACTAGTTTTTAAACTGAAATGTACTATGTACTAGCAAATGCATTTGCACAGTTAGAGACAGACACTTAACTAAGAAGCATTTCATGTATCTTTTTGATGATTTCAAGGTAAATGCATCAAAAATAACCTAAGCTTA